AGAGACCTTCGCGGTCGACCGTCACGATCGACCACCAGCATCAATTTTTCAAACCTCAGTGTTTTTGTGCTTCGCAGTCGACCGCCACGGTCGACCGCCGAACTCATGATTGTATTCCAACGGCTAGTTTCTGATTTGATTCTCTGAGGGCTTTTTGGTCTTTTCAAGTTGGTTTTTGCTGAGTTCTTGAGTGGGTATAAATACCCCATTGCTCTTCTATTTTAGCAACTAAGAAAACCAAGAGTTTTGTTTTGACAAGAAGTTTTAACAAAGGTTTAAGAGGCGTTTAAAGAGTTGTTAAGCTAATTTTCGTTTATCTACTTCAAAAGAAGTTTTCTACAACAAGAAGTGGCCTACTACTCTTCTTGTTTATTGAGAAGTTTTCTAAACTCTTCCTTATATAGCTTACTATTTCATTTTTATTTATTTAGCTATATTTATTGAGTTGTATTATTTTCATTCACTGTTATCACACACACATATTGAGCTTAATATCTCCATACTATATAGTGTGGGTTGTGGGGTGTGATTTAGTGAGTGTGAGCTTTATTTGTGTTCTCATTTGTTATTGAGAACAAATCATTGTATTTATCTTTTATTGTGAGAATCACTTGTAATACACTTGTACACCAAGAGAAGTGTAAAGCGTGAGACGGGGTCAAATCCAATAGGAGTGGCGTCGGTTGACGAACCTAGGGAGAGGTTGTATCCGAGCACTTGATGAGGAGGACACATGCTAGGTTCCTACACTTAGTATGTAAAGTGTGATTGTGTAGAAGTGAGAGTTTTCGGTGATATTGTAAACCGAGTGTGTAGAAGTTCCGGCTTCCAAACCGGATTGTGATAGTGGAGATCTCCTTGAGGTGAGGAGCGGGGATGTAGGTCGTGGGGACCGAACCTCGTAAACATATGTTGTGTTTGTATTTGCGTAGCGTATATTTCTTTTGTGCTTTTTCTTATCGTTCTTATTCATATCTATCTCTTGCAAGAACAAATTAATCCATATTATTTTAATTGGTATTTAATCGGGATTAGATTAGCATAAGACCCTAATCACCCCCTCTCTAGGGTCTAATAGATGGGACATCTTAGTTGTCTGCTTAACTATTTATTACATTTTGTAGTTATTACAAAACTCCACATGTAGTTGATTATTTCCAGACTCTAGATTTGTATTTTATTTCATAGAGTTGAGAGCTATTATGAGACTATGGTTATTTGACTCATTGTATTTGAGATTCAGTTCAGACTCAGAGATATATCTTTTTCATTCTAGTTGGGCTCATTATTAATATATCTTATACTTCTTCTGTGTATATTTTTAGTGTTGCTCTATTTTGATTATTTACCTGTCTGTACCTTCATCTATTTATTGTTTCCACTAGAGAGATAACAATTGTGATGGTGAAACATGTCGTAGCATGTTGTTTGGTGCTTGGCAGGTTTGACAATCCGGGTTTTACCTGGGACTGCAGCCTTGTGTGAACCCTGGGACGTCACATATTAATCATAAAAAACTAGATTATATAGTAAACTCATAAACATGAGACCTAACAAATTAGTGTCACCAAAGCAACCTCTACCATTTCCCCATCTCCTCTTCTAGAAATAAATTTTCTTCATTGTCTTCTTCGTCATTGTCAACAAGATTGGGAGCTAGAATTTCTCTGTGATATACCCAAATTGTATTATCTCTAATAAAATCATGCTTAACAATATGAAGCTCCACATCTTCCTCCTTGTGATGTAGCCTATTCCCACAATGACTGTACGAACAAAGGATCATCCCATGTTGAATCCTATCATGTTCATGCACAAATTTTGTGAAAGAAGCAACTCCTTCAATGAATTCAGGCTTTGTGTGTTTTTCACGACTCACATACATCCAATCATTAACTCTAATATAGTCACTTGCCATGCTAACCTAAATAAGTCAAAGTTAGCGATAAAAACTCTTAAAATTATGCACGCTTGCATTAAAAGACAAAATTGGTAATCCACAAATATCAAATTGAGGATACAAGCATAATAGAGACATTATAAGTTAAAATTTTCAAACATCATCAGAAAGTAATGGATACATTATCTATGCATTATGAATATGTATTTTGTGCGTTCATTCGTATCCTAATCATTATAGAATCATTCTTTGTGAACCAGAACCTTGCTAGTATGCGAGAGTAGGCGCAGCTTACTCAAGTAATATTCTTGATGTTCTTATGGTCCGCTAGCGTGATCTTGATGTTTGTTATAATTGCATTAGTCTAAGTATTAGATATGTAACTAGGTAGGAGTAATTGTTATTGTGATGTCATGCTTTTTTTATGTGTTTTTAATGTTCGTGTTACTGTGTGCTATTTAAGCGAAGTCGACAATATGTTGAGTAACAAAGGTAAAATTTTCATTCTAAGCTGAAAATCCAAAGTTAATTTTCATTCCAAGCTGATGCAGTTACAATAGCAAAAAAATGCATTGTCGGGAAAACTACATAAGATTAAAACATTCATATGGCCCACATTTTCTCGATGAAATTCAAGCTTGTATTACTAGTAACTTGTATACAATGACAAGCATAAAGTTTGGCTTAGTTTAATTTCAAGGCTGATCATAAACTTACTTCTATACAAAGCAGAACAAGAAATTTCAACACGAGTAAGCAATAGATAAGTTTCCCCATAAGTAGCAAAAAATATGTGATTGAAATCAGACTACATTAAACCATGATTGACCCAAATTAGTGTAGAATATAACTTTCTGCTTCATCCCTTTTGCTTCCTGGGAAAAATCCAGTTAACCACCAAACTACAGAAAAAGAAGAAAGGATAGAGGCATTCTAATTGCAAACAAAAGAGTTGTTTATAAACACTTGGCCACTATTTGCCAACAAGAATTAGCTTCTACATTCATCCTACTCTTATGGATAATAGCATAAATTATGAAAACTTTAGGATGTGGCAATAATATTAGGGTTATCCGAAACTATCCAATATCACTCCTCAAAATCATTTTTATCAATTATTCTTTCTCTAAATTGCTATGTAATGACACTCACTTTCTAAATTTCTAAATCTACTCATTACATCCCTATTTGAACAGCCAAACAAGATATTTCTTAACTCTTGCCACTACTCATCTACAAATTATTATAAATTGCAAAAACCTTCAATTCACAAGCAAAAATAACGAATGGGATTCCCTCCAATCACTAAGAAAAGGTTTACCCAATCAATCAAAAATACAAATTTAAATTGATCGCTTACACTGTGAACCGTATCCCAACGATCCGAACTATAGAAATGTGCCCCCAACTGAGCTTCGATTGCACTACATAGGCTCCCTGCTTGAAGGAATCCCCAACTCGAACTGCATGATTATCAAGATAGTATAATGCCCATAATTTCAGCCTGAAAATACCCCTAATTAGGGTTAGGATTTTGAGGTAGAGGACTTACAAGTCAGGCGGCCGGCGAAAATGAGGAACAGGAGAAGAAGCGAGATATGATTAGGGAAGGAGGAACTAGGGTTAGGGTTTCAAGGAGAGAGAGGATGCGAGGGAGCTAGGGGTTTTGAGGGGGACTCGGCAACAAAGTGAGGCAACGACGAGCTCCGACGACGGCGGCGGCGATCTTCGATTTGGGGGGAGGGGAGAGGAGGCAGGGTTTGACATGCGTTCGGATTTTTTTATGAGATACAATAGAGAGAGGGGGGAGGTGAGAGGAGGTGGGGTTTGACATGCGTTGGGGCTTTTTGATGACGCGCGTGCGCGCACACACACAGAGGTGTTAGGATTTTCTTCGAGTTTTTTTAATTTTTTGCTAAAATAATTAGGGCGGGGGGATTCTCTCCAATGTAATTAGGTGAAAGGGCCTTGCCCCAGCGTTGAAAAGCACTGGGACTGGTAAGATCTGCACTAATGATTGTATCCACCAGTTGTGGCTGGACCTTTTTTATTAGTGTTTTATTAGTGTTTACTAATCACTGATATAGATATGCGATAAATATAGTGAAAAAATCGAATATGAGATTAATATACAGATTAGGATCTTCTCCACTAAAAATGATAGTAGAGATTATAACTTTCATGTTGAGGCGATTAATATGTGAGTATAGTTCCACATCGGATATGATAAGAAAGAATGATGAGTTTAAATAGGAGTTTTACTCAATACCTAACATTTATAGCTTTTGGGTAAAAATTAATTCCTAGTTTCTACTTAAGGCCTAACAACTATAAATTGGACCTGATTTCTCCCCCAATAAGTGATATCAAAGCAAGTTACGATCCAAGTAATTTATAAAAGAGTTTAAATAATAGGAGTTTGGGTCAATACCTGACAGATAAATCTTTCGGGTTAAAATTGGTTTCTTGCTTCTACTTAAGGCCGTTCAAATAGTCCTTCCCATAGTATGGCTAATTAGATACTTACGGTGGGACACATGCATGTTAGCTCCTCATTAAGGGCTAACACTTAGCTATTTACAGTATATAAAACTAGCCCTTTTAACTCGAAGTTGGTAGGCCGAGTCCAAGTAAAATTGAATAATCGATGGTTGGGATATCTGATGCGCATTTATGAGGAAAGTGATGGGCCACTATTGATGTGATGCTTTAACGTCACTGGAGATCGTGCACTGGCATCACCTTGTTTCCCAAGCATAGATGGCATGTCAAAGGGTAGTGCTTCAGTTCCTAAGCGGTCATTTTGACTTTCGAGGTCAATCTTAGCCATCCGCCAATAATCGAGTCAACTGCTCTGATCTCAACATGTGACCCTCTTCAAGCCTATATATAGTAGTTTTGCAGAGGGGTTCATTTATGATTTTTCTGGACCCTAACTCTATCTATGCTCTCTACCTCAATCTCCGATCTACTTCCGGTGATCATTCTCTACTAAATGGCTTCTTCTGCATTCATTATAGCATGCAACGAGATAAGGATCGAACTTCTGAGGATTTTCCACTCAAAGCTATGTGTAATGGAGCTCGAGGCATATTATGACCGCTACGACCTCCCACGTGAATTCACATTGTCATTGTTGGTGAGGGCTAAGGCGGTGTATGACCACGGCGGTGTTATGTCTCTGGTCTACCTCAAGCATCTGGCGTATGGACTTTGTCTGCCGCTCCACTCCTTTCTCCGACACAGCTTTGAGGCTCTAGGGCTTTCGACTTCACAAATCAAGCCCAACTCTATCGCCACACCGGTGGGCCTAGTGGTGATATGCTATCGAGTCAGAGTTGAACCGGCCCTCTACGTGCTCAGCCATCTTCTCAATGTTAAAGTGGGGAAGAAGGAGGGTCACTATTATTTTTAGACCCTAGGCGACTTTAAAGTCATCTCGAACGATCCTGAGTCAAATAAATATTGGAAGGAGAAGTTCATGGGGTCTTTGGACCTGACCCCATTCTCACTTGCTCAGCTTGACCCAATGTTAAGAAAGATGTCCTTAGGCTAGGTTTGCTCACGGTCGACGAGAAGCATTGCTCGAGAAGATTTGGGCCTGCTCGAGGTCTCAAAGGACTGAGAATATGTTTGACCAAGCTGCTACACGAGTGGCCTGCATCTCCAAAGTCATGCTGATTGAAGAGAACAAGATCCGAGTAGCGGTCTTGTCTTTGTCATTGAAGGAGTCGGGCAAGACTCAGCCGGGGTCTTTAGTCAGGCCCCAAAAACGACTGAGGTCAAAGTTGGTCCTAGCTGACGCCGAGGAGGTGGCATCGAAGGCTACCGAGATTATAGCTCAGCTTCTTAGGCTGAGTGCATCCACTACTCCAGCTGAGAGGTCTGAGAATAAGAGGAGACGACTATGGAAGGTAAGCAGTTAAGGTCCCTCTAGAAGTGCCGAGCAGTGCAGCATAGGTGGTCACTCCCCCCTCCCCTTCTCAAGAAGTTGGCCAACACCTCTCTGCTCCTTCTCCATATGTCCCTCCAACTGAGCCAGATGATATTGTTATGGTCAGCGATGAGGAGTCTTCACTCATGCTGAGGGGGTGAAATGGCAGTACACAAACCTATAGTGGCGCAGGCTCAGGTCAAGGAGGAGACGGCGCACTCTCCAGTAGATGAGTCAACCTATCAGCAAGGGAAGGAGTCGGCTGAAGAGTCAGCAGTGATGGAGGCACCTCCTGCTCTTGAGGGCCGCATAGGGTGGCCCTTCCCCTACCATATCGATGAGCTCAAACCTGAAGTGTGGGGGGAGCTAAGGGTGATGATGATGGTGTTCACAAACGGAAGGCCCTCAGTACTATAAAGAGTCATCTGAGGAGTGTAGATTCATTCCTAGATAGCATCTTCATAAAAGAGGCTTGATCTTGGAGCCTCGGATCACGGTCTCAAGCTTTGGAGCAGTTCTTTCTCCCTAGGGATGATGAAATCCTCTTGGATATGCTTGATGTCGGTCTTCACTAGGCCCTCAAATGGCTATCTGCTACGGGGGTTCTAGTCGAGCATGAGCTATTCTCCCAGGTTGAGCATCTAGGAGGCCTCCACTTCAAATTCTAGGAGGTGTTGGAGGCTAAGAGGGCATCTCAGGAAGAGGCCGAGAAGAGTTCTGCAACCAAGGAGGCTGAGTTGGTAGCTTGGAGGCAGAGCGACGACAAGTGACGCTGAGAGGTGGAGATGCGGAAGGAGGTGCTCAAGGGGCTTAAAGCGCACAATAGCAAAATGTTAGCCACAATAAAAAAAATCAAGGAGGACCTTGGTCATCTCAAGCAGGGAACTCCATGAGCGGGATGACCAGGTGAAGTATTTGGAGAATGAGATTGCGGTCAAGAGGTGAGAGAGCAATGTCTCTTTCAAGTGGGTTTGGCTGACTCACCAACATGTTGAAAGCCTTTAGGACCAGCTGAAGGAGGTAGCCCGAGTGGCACTGGAGGTTGAGAGACAACGAGAGTCGTCTCCTACTGAGGTGAGGGCACTGTAGGGTCACCTCGATCATCTCAAGTTTGAGGCCTACTAAATGGAGGTTGTGGAGCAATATCACAACAACACTCTTAGGAAGGTCGAGGTGGCCTTGACTTGCAAGGCTAGCTTCGGCTACTTCAAGATGCAGCTCTGTCCCGACCTCAAGCTCGATCCTGACTAGTTCCACTATCCCCTACTCCCGCGAGTAACCAACTGTCTCGATGCTTTTTGGGAGATAGAGAGGAGGGGAGGAGGACTGGTTCTGAATGTTAACAATGGAGACGAGGGGTTGAGGAGTTAGATGTAGGCTCTACCCGAGATAGCTGGGCTAGCCAGCCTGGAGATAAGGATGAAGAGGCCGAATTCAAGCCCCAATTAACTCCTCCGCTGGCATCTAGTGCTGCTCCTCCTCCTCGCTCTACTTTTGTTCCTCTGTCCAGCATGACGCTTACTCCAAGCCCCAAGCCTGCTCCGAGTCAGGCCCCTTGAAGAGCTCCATGTATCTTTTTTTGGCATCTTTCAGATGTAAATATTCAATTTTGTATATATTTTGATATATGAATAAAAGATATACTTTTGTGTATTCGATATTTGTACCTCTCTTGCCTGTGTTGTTGTGTTCATCTATAATTTTACCTCTTTTTGAGATATCTAATTGAGATGAATTGGCTTCATGCCAAGGTCTTATTGGCTGAGGTCGATCAAGTTGATAACATGCCTTGGTTTTATTCGGAATGGGTACCAACGCCTTTCGAATCGAAATCGACCACGTTGATGGCATGCCTTGATTTTCTCCCGAATGGCTACCAAGCTCTTTTGAGTCAAAGTCGACCATGTTAATAGTGTGCCATGGTTTTATCCTAAATAAATACCAAGGTCTTTTGAATTGAAGTCAACTATGTCGATGGCATGCCTTGGTTTTATCTCTAATGTGTACCAAGGTCTTTCGGGTTGAAGTCAACTATGTTGATGGCGTGCCTTGGTTTTATCCTAAATGGGTACTATTGATGTTAAATAATCGCACAGTCAATTATACCCGTTGTTGGATAGGGGTGAGGTTGATGAGGGGTTGCTTCCTTCCCCGAACTTCCCCAAATATCTGGCTCAGAGTTAAGTTGCTGAAAGGTTTGCACATATAAAAACACATGAGAGGATGGGGACTGGTTTCCCTATGGTTCCTCTGGTGATCAAGTCAGCTAGTGAACTTGAGTGGATAAAATAAAGAGCTGTGAGGGTTCTTGTATGTGCAGTATGATTTGTAGAAGACACTGATTTTGCAAAAAAACCAGAATCCGAATCAGAATCCTCTAATGAGGGAATAGTACCTCTTGTTTATAGTAGTACTGAAAGGGCATAACCGTCATTGTGGCCAAGCACAGGATGACGGTGGAGAAGCATAGGCTAGCGGCTGAGTCAGCACTTACTTTACAAGTGCCGGCTAGCGACTGGAGGAGAGATCATCTTGGCATTAAATGGGAAATGGTCGGAGACATGACGGTGTTGACGTCGTCCGATGAGTCATGAAGACTATCGGGGCGAGAGGTATGATGGCGCCTACTAAGCATTAAATACGATGCTGACACGCTGTTAAGCTATCCTCTAGCTTCACCAAGAAGTAACGTCTTTCGAGTCGACCTCGTGAGGCATCGAGTAGTTGGTCAGGTGGGCTCGTTGCGAGTTGTCTTTGATAAAAGGGGGTGACAAGTACCATATTTCGAGTCGACATGAGGAAATGTTGATTTGGTGAGTCGACTGAGTTGTCGCCCTTGATGGTCTTCGTCCGCCAACTTAATTAGGACATCGCATGCAGATGTACACCTATCCGTTGCTAGCAAAGGGTCGCAT